GATTCAATTTCTCATTCCAAGCACTTGAAATTTAAATCGACAGTAATAAAGCCTGTATTAAAAATAGCAACGTTTATCTGCTATTGACAAGGTTGAATATGCGCAATTAATTTAAATTAGTGAATCAATTTAGCTCCGCTATCAAACACTCGCCGTCTGTAAATACACGCAACAAAAATTGTGCACTTTTTTGTGGGTAGAAAGTGCAGGGAATTATTACATAGCTATGGGCAGTGTTCACATCCATTCTGATCACTGTTTCCTGGAAATTAGTGAACAGTTTGCTCCTGGCATGGAGCGAATTGTACTGGAAGTGTTTCAGAGGTAGTTTTCTGCTGGAGTTTTTGGGTCGTTTCAGTTCGTACACGTAGAGGCCGCAGTTGTGGAATGTTGTTTTGTTTGTAGGCGTAGGAGGGTGAAACTGCAGTAAAGATACTGAAATACGTTGGAACTGAATAAAAAACGAATCTGTTTGATTTTTGGAGTTCTGATTTTTCAAAAACTAGAAAGGTTGAAAAATATATCGTTGTCATCGAAAAAACATTTTCTTGCTTTTCTGTTTTTATATGTATCATAATTAAATCATATCATGATATGTCATCTTAGCCAATCGCAGATCTGTGAGGGTAATTGCAACATCACTAAAAGAGCAAGCAAAAATTGTCTTTCAAGTAAAAATTTTTCACGACGAAAATGGTCTTCCTTGCCCTCAAAAAATTATTAAAAACTAATATGTTTTCTTTATTGGATAAACAGTAATCATACAAATTCGTATCGGAAAAGCCGGGCATTTAAGAAAAGTTCGTGAGTGCCAAATCTCCATTTTCAAAATAAATTTTTTACTTAAACTCACTAGCGGGTTTAGGGGGGACATTCCTGCCCTCAGAGATCCGACCCCTGCCGACCCAAAGGCCCCCCCCTTTGTGCTATTTCGAGATATCCTTTTTTGGTGACGGACCCGAATAAATTTCTAAAGCCGCCTTCGATTTTTTTTGAAAATCCGCCCCCTCCTCGAGAAAACCCTAGGTTTGCGCCTGCTTGCCCTCCCAGGATGATTTAAAAAAAACGATTGGATCGCTAAAAGTCACGTAAACCCCAGAAAGGTTAAAAGCTAAAAGTATCAATCTTTTTAGAAATGAGAAAATCAGGCGATTTGCCACAAACAGTAAAAAACTCTTTTTTCAGTAAAAAGAGTTCATAAGATTTGCAGCAAACCAAATAAAAATGCAAAAAGATGCTTTGAGTCGCGCCAAATTAAGTTTCAGGCGAGCGAACGACCGCGCGATCGAAGCTGAAACTATGCAATACAAATCATTGATTACTCCATAACACGGTTATAAGTTGATGTTACTTGTGCAACTTGTGACGTCATCAGTTTGAGGTGTGATATGGTACTGGGGATTGGAGGGGAACGTGGACTCCCGGAAGTTCAGACAGCCACCTGCATTCACGCCTTCCACCCACTCTCCCTGAAACATAATCAAGCTATTATTCTGAACCCAGTACCTAATTTAGAAAAAATTTGCATTCGGCTGTGTTTTTCCAAAAAAAATCAGATACTAAAAAAAACCTCGAACGGATTCCAGTAGTAAACTATATTGAAAATTTTCGCTAGTGATAGGAAGTGTTTTTAAATTGTCTCCAACAAGTTTATTTGCTGTTCAGAATATTACCATGTCACTTGGTTAATACGAAAACACCACCTTAGAATTGATCTAAAACAATAACTAGAGGGACCAAACACGATTTTTTGTTCGGTAAACAAGTCTTTTTATCTTTTGTTTTTTTTCTCGTCCCTGACCAAGATTTAAAAATCAAAAACTCTAAAAAAGATTTTCAAAGCGAACAAAGGTAGAATTTTTCTCTTTTGAATACGGTTTTTTTGCAGCGACAGCTGGGGTCAAAAGTTCGGCTCAAATTGAACAGCGTTTGATACATCGGTTTGCTGAAGAATTTGACTGCACAAAACAACAATTTGCCAGACAATTTTCTTTCTCGATCGCGACAATCTGAACATTAGACACCAATGTCTGATAATTAGACGCGATGGTCTGAACTTTGATTGCGGTATAGTTTCAACTCTGTTAACGGTATAACCTGAAAAATATGTTGCGGACTTCAAAGAATTGATCTGGAAAAAAAATCCGAGAAGCAATATTTGAAAGAAGGATCACTAAATTTCGAGGACTCTTGATATCACAATTAGCATTCAAGTTTGAGAAAACAATAGAAAACAAACACAATGTAGAAACTTCAATTGCGAAACAGTTTGCACACTAATCACGGTATAACCTGAAAAATATATTGCGGACTTCAAAGAATTGATCTTGAACACTAGAATTGATCTTGAACACTAAAAACGGTATAACCTATAAAATATGTTGCGGACTTCGGAGAATTGATCTTGAACACTAGCACAGTATCTTCAGACCATAGTCTTAAAACAAAACAGCGAAAAATAATTTAAAATTATGGTCAAGGATTCGGCATGGTGTGATAAAAGGGTCTTAAACAAAAACTAGAGCGGAGGCATTTTCGACAGTTATAGAAAATACACAAATTGGAAAACAATTTATCAGGGAAAATCACAAGAAAAACTTTTTTTTCAAAAATATTTTTTTTGCACTTCTTTGATTTTTTTAAAACTTTTGATTCCAAAACAGCGCTGAAACACTAAATCTAATTATCCTCGAAAAAAATTTTTTTAAGGCTTTAATCAAGCTATTTTAAGCTTTTAAGTCATAAATTAAAGCTATTGAAAGCTTATTTGTTGGCTCAAAATAGGACAAAAGTTAAAAGTAAAAATTTATTTTTTGAATATATTGATTCCAAAAAAGCGCTAAAACACTAACAATAAATAACTATCCTCGAGTAAAAATTTTTAAGTCTGAAATTGAGCCATTGTAGGCTTTTAAGTTTTTAAAAAAGCTTTTGCAAGCTTATTTGTTAGCTCGAAAAAAATTGAATTTTCTCCTTTGAATATGTTTTTTTGCAAAAACAGCTGGGGTCAACGTTTCGACTCAACTTGAACAACGGTCGATACTTTGGTTTGATATCAGTTTTGATTGCACAAATCAACAATTTGCTGGATTATTTTCATTTTCGATCGCAATGTTCTAAACATTAGACGTCAATGTCTGACAGTGATTCGCGATGGTCTGAACATTAATTGCGGTACAGTTTCAACACTAATCATGATATAACCTGAAAAATATGTTGCGGACTTCGAAGAATTCATCTCGAACACTAGACCGAGAAGCAATATTTGAAAATATGTTAGTTAGTTTTCGAGGACTGTTGATAATTAGAGTTCAAGTTTGAGAACACAAAAGTCAACAATCACAATACAGAAACAAAGATAGCCGGTCACTGCACAAGTAGCACAGTATCTTCTGGCCATAGTCTTAAGAGAATACTTTTTATTTTTCAATTTTTTGTCTTTTTTTCGGCGTAGTGCGATAAAAAAATTCTTAACCGAAAACTGAAGTTGAGGCAAATTCGACAGTCATAGTAAAATACACAAATTGGAAAACAAGTTTTGTTGGAAATGGTTAAAAAAAACTATTTTTTTTTGCTTCTTTTTGGTTTTTTGAAAAATTTGATTCCAAAAAAAGCGTTAAAACACAAAAAATATTATTTATTCTCGAAAAAATAATTCAAAAATATTAACTTAAGCCATTAAAAAAGCTACTTCAATCTTATTATTTTTCTCAAAATAGGACAAAATTTTAAAAATAAAAAATTTTGGAATTTTTGATTCCAAAAAAGCGCTAAAACACAAAAAAGAAAATAACTATCCTCGAGTAAATTTTTTTTCAGGCGGAATTTAGGCCATTGAAGGATTTTAAGCCATTAAAAATAATCTTTTGCAAGCTTATTTATTAGCTCAAATAAAATTCCCTTATTTCTTTTTTCCAAAACGATTTTTTGCAACAACAGCTCGGGTCAAAATTTTGACACAAATTGAACAGCGTTCAAGACATTGGTTTGATTACAGATTTGCTTGAACAAATCAACATTATGCAAGATAATATTCATTATCGATCGCGATATTCTAAACGTTAGACACCAATGTCTGACACTGATTCGCGATGGTCTGAACATTCATTGCGGTACAGCTTCAACGCTAATCACAGTAGAACTTGAAAAATATTTTGCAGACTTCGAAAATTTGATCTCGAACACTAGAAGCAGTATTTGATTGTATGATAACTAATTTTCGAGGACTCTTGATATCACAATTAGCATTCAAGTGTGAGAAAACAATAGAAAATAAACTAAAAATAGAAGCAAGTATAGCCGGTTACAGCGCAAGAAGCAAAGTAGGTTCCGACTATAATCTTAAGGCAATACAATTTTTTTTCTTCAATTTTTGGTCATTCTTTTGGCGTAGTGTGATCAGAGAATCCTAACGAAAAACTAGAGTTGAGGCATAGACGACAGTCATAGTAAAATACGCATATTAGAAAAACAATTTTTTTGGAAATTGACAAGAAAAAAATGTAAATTTTTTGTTTTTTCAAAAATAAATTTTTCCAGTTGTTTAATTTTTTGAAATTTTTGATTCCAAAAAAAGCTTAAATACTAAAAAAAACTAACTATCCTCGAGTAAACTTTTTAAAGGTTGAAGTTAAGCCACTGTAAGCTTTTAAGCCATTAAAATAAGCTAATTCAAGCTTATTTGTTCGCTCGAGTAAAATTCGACTTTTTCAATCGTTTCTTTAACACAAAAATACTGATCGTATCAAGCCTGAATGTTCCGACTGTCTTTTAAGATCAATAAGGCAGCAAATACTTGCAAAAATAATCGCGAAATAAACGAAATATTTTGTTTTAAAAATTTGAGATATTTGTGAAAATGATCCCGCAACACGCCATATAAAATGAAAAGCGATAGGTTTCGCTCCTAGTAACAAATCAGTTATGGCAAATAAGCTTCCATTAAACAATTTGGAACGATTTCTAAGACGGATTAGGTCTCCGCTTACGCGTTAATAGTGTGAAATAATTCGCGAGTCAATTGTCCCAAAATGGCAATCTTTAAACTCCAATAACTTTAGGAAAACTGATCATAGGTGAATTATCTTTTCAAACTTAATCTCAGGGCAACAATACTTTTTGAATGATAAAAAAAATTCCGTCAAAAATGGATAGTTAAAAAGTCGAAATTTGTCTGAAGAAAAAAAACCCACCCGAGCACAAATCTTTCGTTGCTTTCGTTACGAAAGTCGGAACCTCAACTATTCCACTCGTATCAAGGCAAAGTATGAAAAAACCGACTGCATTGAGTTTCTTTCGAGTGTTTTTAGCTTAAGAATGCTTTGTTAAAAGAGAAACAAAACATATTTTCCATAGATTTGTTATCTTATAATTTTCCTCCTCACGCTATTTACAGTAAACCTATCGAACAGATATAGAAGTCTTCCTTTGCAATGATTGAGCAGTGCTTACGCGTCAAACAGACTAATTATCAGGCTTAGTTATCCCAGGTAGACAAACTTGAAAAGTTTTGAACGGTATGAATTATGTATGAAAACTGAATGCAATAGAAGTATGCATTTTTAAAAACTTGAGCACAGGACGTCAATACGATTTAAGGGGAACGGTATAAAATAGCCGGCAAAAAAGTTGAAACGTTTAAAAAAAAAGAACCTTAATAAAAGAATTAATTTTTTTTTGCTTTTTTGCAATTTTTGTGAAAGTTTTAGTAAAGTGGCGCATGCAAATAATCGAAAACTATTAATTTTTGTGCTGAGGGAGTGATCACACATTCTGAAGGGAAGCATTCTGTGCCCTTCAAGTGCCTTTAGTCATCTAATGCGCGACAGTTTGAGTGAAATTTTTTCACCTTGATTTTTATTACCTTGATTGACATCTCAAAGCCGTTCACAACCTTTCCATTTATGGTGAACTGTGGCTCTGTTGTGCATATAGTGACCCCTCGAAATATGGAAATAAAATGGCTGAACTCCATGAAAAATTCGCCATCTGGTTTTTCCTGGAACTCGAGAAATCGTGCTATTTCTTGGAATTCTATTTTCTTCCAGATGTGGTCAGCATCACTCCAAGGACCTATAAAAACAAGAAAATGGAAAGCAAACCATCGACAACAACTCACCATTTTATAAGCAATTTACTCGACTAACAAGACCGGAACAATGATTAAGAAATATATGCAGGAAAAGCGAGACATTCAACACGTGGTTTTCAGCCAGAGACATAGTAGTCTGAAAATACCTTTGTACTCGAATGAAGCCCAGGGGTTCCTCAGTCTGATCAGCTTCACTTTCTCCTCCATCCACCCGAAACTAACACATTTCACCACAGAGTACGCATGAGACTCCACGAGTCCAATACTGTCCTATAAGTAAATACAAGTTTTTATGTCTCATTCCAACTCAAGGATCTCTTTAATATCTCGTCTTTCATTGCAAAAGAGAAAAGGTGCAAAATCTTTGTTACCGTTGATTTAGTTCTAGATAAATCTACGTTGTGGTTGTTTTTAGCCCGATATTTGGGGCGCATCCGGCATGCTCTCGCCGAATCCAAGGAAAATTTTGGCCGCTGTCGGTTGGAGCCACAGTTCCATTGTGGTCAGGGAAGTTGGGTTTTAGTGACAGTTAAAAAGATGTAGCACAGTCTACGGTGCTGGTCGTTTTGGGCAGTTAGGTGAGGGACGTTCGGGTCTATCCTGCTTTAAAAAAGTGTTAAGGTAGGGACTGTAGCGGGTTTTATTTGAGTGAGGGTGCCGTCTAGTTGTTGAGTGGGGAAGCTTCAGCTCTGCGGTCTTAGAGAAAAAGTCTTCTGCGGCCTTAGGGTGCGGTCTTAGAGTAAAGAATTTGGAGAGGGACTTCATCAATGGCGTTAAGAACCCCATGAGCGTGAATGTGCTTTGGAGGTGTTGTAAAGCTCTGGTGTACAAAAAAAGGTAAGCTGGCTAAAATAGTACTAAAGATGGACACGTTTGCTTCACTAAAAACCAGTTTGAGCTTCCCGTTGTAAATGTATATAAACCTTTGGGGGCAATGGCTGGCGAATGTGATAAAAATGCAACCGACTTAAAACGACATAAAATTTGAGAAAGAATTGGGTTGAGAGTACCTTATGATGATTTCTCACATTGAGTAATTTGCTTTCTGGTTAGATAGTCAATGGAGCTCATTTTTAGTGCACCCAGTAACCATTCGAAGTGCTGCATTTGCACTGTTTCCTGTTTGTTAATGGAAATATCACTGGCAAAATAGAACCAAGCAGGACAGGCATAATCAATAGTCGGTCTTATTAAAAAACTATCAGTCATAATTAGAGTTTCTTTCGAATGGCCTCAATTTTTTGTGCACGACAGTTCCTTCAGGACTGATATCCTCCGCATGGCTTTATTGCAGGTTGTCTGCAGCATTCGGTGAAACTAAGAGCTGGTTCAAAATAGACACCAGAATTTAAGGGTGCTTCGACAATGGTAAAAGCGAGTCACACAATGTTACATGTTTAAGAGACGCCTACCGAGTGTAGGGAGAAACTGTGCTGATGAGCTGCTTTTGGAAGGAGTTTTTATTCTCAGGCTTAAAACTAAAACTGGGCGGCAGGAGACTGACATTTTCAAATATTTGCCTGGTTTAACTTTAGAGATAGGTTAAAAAAATGTTTCAAAAAACTTGTGGCTAGTGGCCCCAGGTGTTCATTTAGAGATGGTTAATGTCGACTTGGTATCATTGGGGGAGGGGTTATTAAAAAAAATCTTAGCTCAAAAATCAGCCAAAAAATTGCCGGGAATCTTGCGTCATCTCTTCTAATTATCAAGACCTTAAGAATATCTGCGCTGTAAATTTAGTTTGTAGAAAATTGGTCTTTTTGAATATATTAAGATCAAATATGAAATTTCATTCGCACATGTAGTTTGTATCAATTTGGAAGAGCAACCTTTCACACCTGTTCAATGCTGTATTTATTTTTTTGGGAAAATGATACGTCAGTCACATTCACTTTTTTTAACCTCTGGGAGGGGTCCTTCGCCGTCGACTAATTTTCCACATGAGGCAGTGGCGAAGGAAGTGTGGTTTGTTGTGACGTCACGCAGCCTTTTCCACACTTTAGAACTATCTTCATCCTCCAGACTGAAACAAAATCCCAAATGCATTAAATTTTAAGTCAAGGTCCACCCTCCAATGCTATTGTACAAAAAAATCATTAAGAAACCGATGAATGCAAAACTCAAACTATCTCCGTTTTGGAAACATTTATACTGAATAAGGAGTTTTTTGAACACGTTTTCACTGAATAAGAAAAATACTTACAGAAGAACTTCAGTCATTCCTCCTGTTAAATCAGACCAAGCTGAAGTTGCGTTGCCCCCCACGAGTGCCTCGTATGACCCCTTCAGTTTGGCATATGCCTTCTCCAGCAGACTCACCCACATCTCACTCGGCTGGGTCGACTGAGAAAACGAGGGGGCGCCTCAAAGATTACACACATGTGTTTTAGATCTACTCGAATGTTAATATTTTGCGATTACGTGCAAAGAAGTAAATGCAGCATTACGAGGCCAATCTGTGCACTGGATAGGCGCACAGTTTGCTGTTTGTAGGTCACTGTAATCCGAAGACAAGTCTATAAAGATGTTTTTAAAGGCAAGTGGATTCCATGTACAAAAATTCCGTGGACGTTCTGCACAAAACTGTCGGCCTATTAGTTTCGTTGCGGATTCAACTACAAGCAAAAATATCTAATTTTTCGGAATCCGCAGATTTTTGCAAACGAAATCTGAACCTTGATTGCGGATTCCAGTAATATATATAGTTACATTTTTTTATTATATCAATTTGCTACCGGTGATTTTACCTGTCAAAATTAAAAAAAAACGCTTTTGTTCTGCACGCAAGATAATTGATCTTAGCTAAAATTACGTTTTTCAGGATTTCGGATGACAGCTATGGTTTAGCTGTTGGATATCTATGCTGAGTTTCTGAATATCAGGTGAATGATTGATATTTATACTGAGTTTCAGGATATCGGATGACAAGATAAATTTTCAACCCCAATCTAAAAAAAGGAGACTGTTTATTCTGTTTCCCAAACTATGATCTCCAAAACAGCTTACAGAGAAATTTTCAACGGGTTCATCCCCGAATTTGAATACATTGAAAATTAAGATTAGTGTGTGGCTTCCACTGACATTGGGTAGCTCCTTCTTTTAGAATCGTATTTGCTTGATATTATTATTCAAAAACTTACTTCAGTTTAGTAAAAATTTGCGGAATTTACTTAAAAATTGGGGAATCCACGTATATTTTGCGAAATCCGCTAACATTTTGCAAAATTCACTCTTATTTGTGAATCCGGAACATTTAGTTATTTTCACAGGTTGCGCAATCCGCAACAAAACTTATTCGTTACACGCATTTGTATGCAAAATCCACAGAATCCAGTTTGTATTTGCAGTTTTTTGAAAGATGTGACTTTTGATTCCTCTAACCTGAAGAATGCAAATTGAGCGCCTATCAAATGCACATTATTGTCTCGTAATGCCGAGTCACTCAAACGTCTATTTTGTACTTAAACATACAGTTTCTTCGATGTATGAAAACGAAAAAAAAACAATGTATTGGAGGTCTCTCAGTTACACTAGTGGATAAAAATAAGCTCAAAAAGAAGTTTTTACTCCCTAAAAAGCTGCTTTCAAGGTCAATGTGGTGAACATTTACATCAAGTTTTAGCAAGTTTCTTTCACGGACAAAGAGCAAATGATCATGGCTACCCTCAATGAAATTATTATGATTATAATTCAAAGTTTTACCAAATTAACCCGGGTCTGAAAATGCCAGATTTCTAAGTTTTGCATCTGAGTGAACTTTTTCGTGAATAAGTGGAGAAAAAAGTTGAAATTTCATTCTTGTTGAAATTTCATTGAGCGTAGCTCTGATCTTTTGCTCTTACTCTGTGTAAAAGCTTGGCTGAATTTCGAAGTAAACTTGTGCAAAATAGACACTGAAAACAGGCATTTTAGAGAGTAAATATCTGAAAATGCTCTTAGTTTTGTCTAGGAGTACTTCTAAGATATATTACTATTGACACGCCACCTTAGAGAACACCAATTGGTATTTCCCATATCCCACGTCTCTGACAGGTAGCAGGTCATCAATTTTAACTTCGACCCACTCCCCATTTTGGTGGAAGCTGAATGTCAATGGACCCCCAATGTACTCGGACCCTGAGAGGGGAATGTGCTGACACGAGACGACGCGAGAGAGAAGAGTCGGGTTATCGGCTAGGGCTGAGCAAGTTGCGATGAACCAGCAGTCACCCAGAGCCTAACACGTGAAACCATTATAACATAAAAGATAACAGAAACTGAGTGCCTACGAAGTACGTGTAGCAGACCTAACAATCTTCTGGAAATATTCTTGCCCAAGCTAAAAACTAAAGGGGGCAAAACTGATCAGATTTTTGAGACAAAACTTCTCTGAAATAAGCTGAACTCCTAAAAAATTCATGCTGCTCATCCCTCATGTGTTGTTATTATCTATTTGAGGATTAAAGAACTATAAGCTCACGACCCTGGTTTTGTGATATACGTCAAGTTGCAATTACGGAACTTAGTAAGTGCAGGGGAACCGTACCTTCGCGCAGTCCTTGTCATTGTGAATGTCTTACTTGCTGTTGAATATCTGCTGACGACATATCGTGTTTAATCATGGTGGCGTTCCGATTGATTTCAAAGGGCCTCTTCCACTCAATCTTTGGCAAATATTGTTTGAATTCAGGCTGACCTGAATAGGTCAGTGACCCTAAAGTAGGCGGGAACTCATCGTCCACGAAGTACGAATCAGCTTTACTATTGACGGCAGTTGGATCTGGTTTGAATAAGGATTCCTCGGCTGTTTTTATTTCCTCCTAAAACAGCTTCAAGTTTTTCAACTGCAAAAAAAACCGATTAGTTTGATGAATTCTTAATTACCTTTTGAGATGATAAATTGAGCGAAAAGACTTAAAACACGCTGGAAGTTTTTTAATGGAATATCATAGTCAAAGTTTTTTGAAAGTAAAGTACAAGATTATAGCGTTAAACGTTATTGGAAAAATAAAAGTACAAACTTACCAGTGGTATTGGTTCTAGATTATTGCTAATCGTGGTTTTGATTTTAGTCTTCGGAATGGCTAACATTTTCCTGATTTTGAAAACTTTTTTTGAAGAACAATCTGCAGTGTCTTTCTTCAAACCAGTGTATGAGAAAAATTCACTAAATTATTCAATTTTTTTAAATTGGAATAAAAAAACCAATACCAAGCTACTGCATTCAATCCGTATGAAAATAAAAACTATAAATATATTATGGCGAATCGATATCAGAGCGTTCTCATTGATGACTATTGAAAAGATACAATCACTAAGAAAGCCGAAACTTGGTATAAATTTATCGTCAAAACACTTAGAAAAAGAACTTTTTCAAAGGCACTTTTGTTTTAATGACCACTACTAACTTGTAAAAATTAATCACTCAATGGCAGAAAAAACGTCTGCTCGTAAATTTTACAAATCATTAGTTTGAACAAAGATTTTGTTCATACACACCGACCATTTCAAAGGCATCATATATGAGACAAAAACTGAAAGCAACAAAGAAGACGAAAACTCACAACTACCTATGAATTGTCATATCGTCGACGCTTCAATGAATTCTAAGAAAACATTTTCAGCTAGAACGAATAAATTGAACTTGCGCATAAAATATTTCGTTCACTGTTTGGACAAATAACTCAGCTGTGATGTTCCAGCTTTAGAAAAAAAAGGAGAACGATATTGCTCGTAGTGTTTTTTTTTCTCCAAACAAGTTTTAGATCTTTTATTTACATTTTTTGAGTTTTTGAAAGATCTGAGAAATTGGCGCGAATTTTCCCAAAGCGTAGCGGGTAGCAGACAATAAAAATGAGTATTGGGAAGGTCTTTTCGTAAAAAGAAAATAAAAAATTCGAAAAATTTAGACTCGATTTTTGAGATTTGTGGCGATACTTTGATGGCAAAAGCAGCTTTCAGCCAAAAGCAGCAATCTTGGTATTTCAAAATAAGTTTTTAGTAGACGCAAAATAAATCTCGATTTAGTTGATATTGTCTGTGGGGAGATCATTATGTAGGAGAGTGATGAACCAAAATGAGCATTATGACACAAAAACATTACATGAAGAACCGTCGGAAAAATTTAGGCACGATCATTTTTGGGATTTTTCATTTTTTTTCCAAATGCGTCAGAGCAAATAACGTTCTTTCAAAATGTCAAATAGTTCAAAGAGCCCTTGAATTTGAGACCACTGTTAAGTTGAACAAGGGAAACCAAAGAAAAACATATATTTCTAAAACTACCTTTTCTTTTAAGTTTTTTCCAGGTTATAATTCGGCGCTCGGAAACATTAATTTTTTCTATTTCACAAGCCGGAATTTTATTAAGAATAACGTTTAGCTTAGCTACTACTAAAAAAATTCCTTTAGCCTGTTAAGTATTATAAGGATAAGACAACTAGATGGGACAATTTGGGCAGCAGTTTTGCGTGAAAAAAGAAATTTGTGCGAAATTGTGATTTGAAACCAACAAAAACGAGCGATTTTTTGTTCTAAAAATTAAACATCAGAGCTAGAGAGATCAAGAGTCCTACTAGGG